AAGCCTTACCCCTCAAAAAATGTTTTAAAATGTATTAGGAATTCTACTGCTTTTGGATTATATTGCCCTGTGTTATACTGGTGTAGGCAACCAATCTACTAAAATGAGAAAATTAGCTCTAAGACACAAAAACATTTTTTTTTGGCTTTTCAAGATGTAGAAGTCTCTTAGTCTGTTACCAGTCTTGTTTTGAAGCCAAGAATGCTAATAGTTTGCTGGCCATTTCCAATCATTGTGGGTCAGTTCACAGCTGTGCAGGCACTCAGTTTCAAAGGCATCCTCCACACTTCTCAGTACATTTCTCCACGACAAAGTTTCTTTCTGAAAGTCACAGTCAAAAGATAACCGAGTACCTGACTCTGCATTGCTGTGATCAGTTACTTATACTGACAGAGAGAAAACAAGGGAAGCAAACATCCTACCACTGCACCCAGATAAGGTAACTGTAAACTGAAAGACAACTTGCTGAAAATAACTCTTCAAAGTGGAATATCTCCAGTATCACCTTGAATAGCAGAAAAGCAAATTCTGGAGTTAAAATAATGAAATAATGATAATTAAACAGTAACTCAGAATAGCAAATGCCAGATGAAGTACAATTTATGGGGCATCAGCATATTATTGTACTGCAAAAACAATGACCTGCACAAACTGAACCGATTCCAGCCCAAGCTTCAGGACATTACTGACACTTAAGAAAACAGAACAGTCCCTTCAGTCTTTTCAGTGTCAAACACCATTTTTACCATGCCTAATTTGTTCACCTATGCAAGTAATCCTTGAGGAAGCAAATGGCAATATTTATATACAGAGATTTAAGAAAAGAGACCAGAATCACAATCTGTTCAGCTCTGAGCAGGTCAACAAAGTCATGCCCCTTGTTTTCCTCGCTTACACTAATGGGAACAAGTACTCTGAAACAGCACAGATACCTGATCCTAAGCTTTGTCAACCCAGCCACCATCTAATGTACTACCAGTCTGACACCGTGCAGAGAAATGTCTCACTGAATTTGGAAAGCCATTGCCACTTTTATACCAGAGACAAATTATTAATCTCCTTATCTGTCAATATCATGAATGTATTCTTGATAGAAAATGCAGCTTTACACACTTAAAGGATGATGTGCCCCATTTTAGGCTTGTTCATTCTTAGGTAGTTGTTTCTTCAGAGAGTAGCAGGTGAAATTTAGATGCACATTGTGAAGGAAGCTGATTAAAATTTACACATCCATTTCAGTCTAAGACTCACCCCACCTGCCTTGCCACAAGACAGTAACTTCAAAAAATCCCTTTGTTTGCTGCAGAAAGTCACAAGCTGAGAACTACAAAACCACAACATCCTGGAGAAAACATCTGAGCAACAGAGTGAAAAAAACATAAGCACGTATACACATAAGATCTGCTGCAAACCCCAGACTGCGCTTTTTGGTCTCTGCTCTGCCACTGAGCCCACTCAGCTCTTTCACATAACATCAACAGCTGTGGAAGATCATCAAAGCAGACTGTTTGCCCCTAATAAAGGAGCAGACTGTCAGGCTCAAAGCATACAAGTAATGTGAAAGAGCAAATCCAGTTCAGCCAAGAGAGCTGAACCAGCTAGCGCTGGAAAGGCTTGTGCTGCAAACACAGACCACGTACATCCTTAGACTGGAACAGCAGGAAAGCATCAAAACAAAAAATACCAGTATTATCATAGCCTATCTTCTTCAGTATTTTGTTCTAAAAGGGTAGCAACAACAAGAGTTCCTCAGTTAAAGAAGAGATTCCTTTACAAGGAACAAAATGCCAATATGAGCAGTGTTTGCCAAAAATACAGCAAGGGTTGACCACCAGTGTGAAGTGTTCACTCCACAAGTGCCAAATTTTTAATTAAAAAAAAAAAAAAAAAAAAAACACATTTATTACAACAGAATATTACAAAGATCTAGCTTCAATGATCAACAAATAGAACTTTACAAAATGCAAACAAAGTAATTTCCGACTGCGGAGTGACAGATATCCCAAGTTTACAAATACAGCATCTTTTGTTTATGCCCACTTAAAAATCATTTCCAGTCTGCTTTATTTTCCATCAAATACAGTACATTTACCCAAACAAAAGCATGTACATTCAATATAGAACATTTTGAGCAAAGCTACAATCTTAGTTCCCATTCACAGTATTTTTAGTGCAATGCACTAACAGGGCCAAATAGTTCTCTATCCATAAAATCATTTTTACTCCTGATCTTGTGATCAACATTTAGATATATTTTATACAAAAAGTATATATGAACATGAGGCACCTCCCTAAGTAAGGGAGTGAACCGATATAAAAAACACGGTATTTCTTCTGATGTACAATACCTTTCAAATTGTAGCAATTTGACACAAATCACTAAAAAAAATATTTTCTAAAAGGTAAAAAATAAACCAAAAAAGGAAAAAAAAAAAAAACCAAAAAAAAAAACCCAAAAAACAATTAAAAAAAAAAATTAAAAAAAAAAAAAAAACAAATCTGAAACAAAACCCACGATTGCATGAAACCTGCCAAGAACTTCATAATGGTAGGCATGCAACTGCTTTACTACAATCTTGATTAAAAGGTTAAAAAAAGGTATCTAAGCATCTTCCAATTACACAAAGTCAAGTGTTACCCATAGTGGTAATTTATGATTTTGAGAGAAAATATATTTTGAGTTTCTCCCAAACTATCCTCCCTTTTTATTAATATTTAATGAAATAAGCTAACATTATAAGTGGTTGTGCACAGATTGTCTATAATACATCAGCAAATATTCACTACCTTCATATTAACATTAGTGTGTTGATCTTTCAAAAAATAAACTGAAAAAATAAACTGCAACTATCATTAAAGTGCTTGTGTATAAATTTTTTTAAAATTAAAGAATAGAGGAATGTGGATATTCTTGTAAACTTTCTAGATGTTTACAAAGTTTTCCTGTGAACCACATATGGAAACAAAATGGAGGTCTTTGAAGCAACTTCAGCACAGCGAAATTCAGAATGTCCCTGAACTGGGAAATTAGTCAATATGAACAAACTGAATTTATGCCAAATACTAAAAATTAGTAGAATTCAGCCAATAAACACTACATTGTTTGCTCTTATACATTCATTTGTAATAAACTTAAAACAGAGTATAATACAATATTTACTAAAGTAGGATATCACATCAAAGTTTGAGCTGTCCATCAATTAGCACTGCCAGGGAGGACCAGCATGCACCATGAGTTTTCTGAAGATTTCCTAAACGAGGAAAATCCACCTTCTTCCAATGCTGCTGCTCATTAACTTGGCTCGGGTATATTCCTTTTCAGTTTCAGGAAGTTTGTTCTATACTGGGTCAAACTACAACTACATGGAGATAGCTGCTAATTTAGAGGCATGTGCATTTCACTTCAACTACTTCAGTGTTTTGGGAAGTGGCACTGTCCTACAAGCAGTCAGAATGATTATTAATATTGTAAGAAAAAAGAACAGCTTATGAAAGTATTTTCTCCTTATAGTACCATTATCAAGAATTAGCAGTTCCACCAACAAACTAAAGTCTTTTTCATTCAAATGAACTTCAAACTTTCCGAACATCACTTGAGCCTATCTGAAGAGAAATGGGAATAAATTAATATTTTGAGTTCACCCATATAATTCTCTTTTAAACTACACAAATAATTTAGAAGGTTAAATTTTTAATTCTTAGTCAAAATGCAGAAGTCACTCCCCCTCTAGAATTCAGCATAATTCAGGGCTCAACTCAGTTAATTTTTGAAGTTCTGCCTAATTTGGTCAGGATTTATTAGAAAGTCACGAAAGCACCACATCACAATTTAATAGAACTAGGTGGTTATTCACTGTGAAAGCTGAACTCAGATTGAATCACCTCCCAGAAAATAGCGTTTCAGAGTTGAAACACAGAACAAGGCACATATACTTTGCTTTCTTTTTGCCAAATATGCTAGAAAGATGATGCTGCATAAGGATGTTAAAAACTCCTAAAATTATCACTACAGTCTCTCTTCATCATACTTTTGTACAATCCCCAACCTTCAGCCATCAGTTGGTCAGTGTGAAATACAAAGTGACTGTACACAAATATTTTCTTTTTTAAAAGGTCCTCTAAATATAGGCCATGGCAAGGCCTATGGAAAACTGAGTAGCTACAAATACAACCCCTCCAAGTGTAAAAAATTCCGAGAGCACTACATAAGCAAAAGTTTAGAAAATTCTAGAGCAGACATCAATACATATCAATGCTTAAAGCAAAAATTTTGATAAGATTTGAACAATTTAAAAAACTAAATGACCACACGTCTCCAAACCTGGGCATATATAAATAAGCATTAAAAGAAGAGAATTCTAAATTTGATGACTTCAAAGGTATTTGCAGACACCTAACCAATAATGATTTTAAATCAAAACAACTAAGCAACCAAATTACATTAAAAAACCTGTTCTATGCACTTTTGTTGACAGTGTGTTGGTAATACACATTAAAATAAAAATTTAAATTTACAAATGCTAATTCCAGTAAATTCATAGAGATTTTTTCTGTTATCAGCTTTTACTTTAGTACTTTTAGTACTTCTTCAAGTGGTCACAGCAAAGTTAATTAAATGAGTTAAGTTATTCAAACCAAACAAAATTACAGTTAATTTTAAAAAAATTACTATTTTAAAAATGTACTTATATTAGCCTTATTACAGCAGATGCCTTAAGACAGTTTAAAGAGTTGACTTAGTACAGTTTAATCTACATTCCATCTTTCTACAATGACAAATTTAGATTTTAACTCTTTTCCAAAATGCTAAAAAAAAAAAACAAACTTGACATCAAATACTTTTGCATTTAAATCACTAAACCATAAAATCTATGGGAAAAAAATATGTTTTCAGCAATAAATCAACAACAGCAAAAGAAACGCAGTAGCATTGTTGGGTTTTTTTGTTTTTTTTAAAAAAAAAAAAAAAAAAGGACAAAACATTCTCTCTTTTTCCTCACCAGACAAGAGCTTTAGATCTTGTACTTCTGCCTTTGGTTTTACTTTCTTCAGGTGAATGAGATACGTTTGCTTTGTGGGTTTTCTTATGATGTTCTAGAAAAGCTTTTCTGGCAAATGCTTTCCCACATTTATTGCATCGGTGCAGAGAAAAGTTTTTTGTTACTTTTACTTCAATGCCAACATCAGCTCCTTCATACTTTTTATTGGGAGAATTAGAGGTGACATCCTGTTTTGAACCAATCTGTTTTGTTTCATCCTTCTGAGAGCCTCTTTTTGTCACCTTATTTAGAACAAGATCAATTGGCTTCTTTATTGCTCTTATTTCCAAACTCGCCGTTATTTTCCCAAGGTAGCGCGGTGACTTTTTATGAACCACAGTTATGTGTCGGATCACATCGCGCTTGCGACGCGTTTCGTAAGAGCAGAGTGGACACCTGTAGTACTTAACATAAATATTATTTCCATCTGTGTGTAATTCAATGTGCTTTGTTAAATTCTGTTTAGACGTAAATTGGCGCTTACAGAGTTTACAGTAAAGCTGCTTGAAGTCAAAGCCAGCTGAAAGTTTTGGCTTCCTGGCCTTTTGCTGGCCACCTGCAGCAGATGCATTGGTTGATTTAGGGGTTGATTTAGTGGTTGATTTGCAGGTTGATTTAGTGGTTGATTTAGAAGTTGATTTAGGGTTTTCAGGGTCCTGTTTAACCTTATTTTTTTGTGCTGACGGTGTGTTCTTTTTCTCATTTTGATGATTTGTTCCCTTTAATTCATTCTGTGGAGAAAGCACAATGGAAGGGGGTGAAGGTTCTACAGAATCTGCTGGTTCAACTTGTATTTCTGTGCCATTGGTAGTATTGTTGGGTCCTTTCTCTCTTTTAGAGTTCTTTCCAGAAAGAGTTATCTTGTGAACAATTTGCATATGCCTTTTCAGCATTATCTGTGAACTATACTTTCTCTTGCACAGAAGGCATTTGCATGCACTTAAATTGTATTCAGCCTTTGAAGACGACTTTTGTTTTCTGGTCTTAAGAGATTTTTTAGGAGAAACTGTATCCAAGAACAAAGGTTGCCCAGGCTTTGTAGCTATATCAGGAGTAATGGAATCCCTTCTTAATCCTCTATGAACTTCATCAAAATGCCTCCTTACATTGGCTTTTGTGGCAAATGATTTATAACACACAGGACAACTTCTACCTAATGTGACAAGAACATTCTTATTTCGTCCTCTTGCAGAGCACTGGTTTGTTTTCTTTTTTGTTTCTATATACTTCTTTAGTTCTTCCATCTTTTTTTTGTGTACTTTTCGAATGTGCCGGCGTACACTGCGTCTTGAATGAAATTCCTTCCTACAGAGGCAACAAATCAACTGGTGGCCATAATCAGAATTATCCAGAGAGTCCAAGTCAGGATTTACTGCTGGTGGCTGTTCGTCGGGAGTAGATATCACCTTGTTTGTAACAGGATCAGCAGGAGGTAATTCTACAGTATCCCCAGCTGGGACCAGGGCTGGAGCTGAAACAGTCTTGGGCTGCTCAGTGCTGGGTTCCTGGATTTGTACTGGAGCTTGATCAGGGGTATGGCTACTTTCTGTGTTCTCGTCTGGGCTATCAGTCCTTGACACATATTGAAACACAGCATTTTGATTGGTTTCTATAGGTTCCAACGTGATGATATATTCTTGCTTATCTACCCTTGGATAGATTGCTTCAAGAAGGTCATTTATGGCTTGACTCTGCTTATCTTTTGTATCTGGGAGGTCTGTGAAAAGAGGAAAAGGTATTTTTTAATGATTTGGTAATTTCCAATTATTTAAATTTCAAAGTAGCTTTTAACCACTACGTGAATTAAGTCTACAAATTTCCACAAATCCTCTTTTGTACTCTCTGAACACTCAACGGCTTTGAGTAATCATTGCAAGTTGCCTTTTTATTAAAAGCCAGCATCGGAAATAACCCTCCTGGCGTGCTAATGTGAAAGCCACCTGAACTAAACATTTGTATGACTGGAATTAAGCTGGTTTTTAAAAAACTGTATCAATTGCAAGAATAACATCATTCAACTGAGCTTCTTCTGCAGGTGTGCAACTAAGCCTGAAGCATCATTAAAAACCAATTTTCCTACTGTGGGATATAGGCACTCTCAGTAAAGGAATCTAATTCTGGAAATAAGCTCTTCTCTGTGAATTGTGAACGATCCTTACCATAGATGAAACATCTGTGTAACCTGAGCATTGTATAAAGATAGAAGTAGATAATATTTTACAGGTCTCAGTAATATTCTCTCTTTAAATGCCAAATTAGTTCAGTGCTCTAGTTCCCAGTGTGACACTCGAAGCATCCGCGATGGCAAAACTAGGAAGCTGGGGTCCTACACCAAAAAGGTGAGGCACTGAGATGACACAGTTCAAATTATTGTGAATAATTTTAAAGATGTGAGTCCTGGTAACAGCTAATTAAAAACCCACAGTCAAAATTATTCCTTCCACACACCCAGCAATACATGGAAAGTGTCAGTACAAGAAATAGGCTGTTTTGTTGCTCCAAACCCATTTTTTTAACACTGCATTCTTAACTTCTTTTACAGTCAGTTTCAAATGAGCTTATCTATACAGTTTTTACAAAGAGTAAAAACTCCTTCCAATTTTATAGCACCTTTTAAGACTACTTCATTACTATATTGAGTGCATTAATTTTTCACCATGGTGTGCTGAACTTTAATTCCGGCCTTTTGTACACTATCTTTCATTTATTGATAAAACTCCCACTTAGTTCAATAACTATAATCAATTTTATATAAAGCACAAGTACTTATACAGTTTTATTCAGTGTGTAGTATTATTCCTTTTATTTGCACCTCTCATAGTGAACAGTGGAAGTAATTTTATTTGTATGTTAGTTGCATGTTATTTCATATTAACATATGAAAGTTAATCAGAAAGTTAAATGAAGGCTAGAATGCCAGGAGCTGGACATTAAGTCTTCACTCAGGGTCATCTTACTTTGCTTAGAAACTATTACATCTAAAGTCACATGCACTTCCAACCTTGCTTCGAAACTATGAGTCACCCCTCATCACAGAGAAGCTCTGTGACTCTCTAACTGGCCAAGCAAGCTCATTTAAGTAGCCAGCCTTTTCACCTTCTCCATTCAGCTGACACCATGTGCAAAAAGAATCATCAAAGTATATCTCTGTTCCTAATTTTTGAAATATTGAGGCAGGAAGGCACTAATTAGGAAAGAAAAATCCTCATTGCACCTATACTGATCTAGTGAAGAGATCAAGATAATTTCTTTACAAACACTTTTGAATGCTGACACATTTCCAAATTAATCAACTTTACTCAGATTAACAAAAAGTCATCACTGGAATGAGACTGTAATAAATTTTTTTCCCATAAAAAATATAGTTCTTAGCTTTTTCCTCATCATTTAACTAACTTCTTTTAGTAATAAAGCTTCTTTTCCACAACAAAGATGTTGGGCTAGGCATGATCACATAGGATATGTTAAAGCAGCATACACTGAAGTGAAGCAGGGGAAAAGAGACAGCATTATTCAAGCACAGATCCTTAAATAAAAGGGTAAACTTTTAGTCTGTGTTTCATACTGACTAAAACCAAAAGACTGCATCCATGACACAATCACTGTATTCTCTGAGTACAGGAGAATATTAAGGATATTGACCCAGGTCACTTCACAGGAGCAGCCGAAATCCATCAGAGATATGATGGCCTAAAACTGAAACACCCTGTTAGAGTCACTGTCTTCTGTGAGAGTCACTTCCCAGTCCTTTGACATGCCTTTGATTTCTTTCACAGTAAAGGACAGATGGGAAAGAAAAAGAGGAAGAAGGAATAAAAAGTGTTAAAGAGTGACAATTAAAAGGTTAGATGTATAAACTAGCTATCTGTTTATGATACTGGCATGGCTCTTGGTTGTTAATTCATATAAAGTCATTACTGTAGCTCCTAACAGTAACATAAAAGTGATCTAAATACATTACTACAGAAATTTAGATCCACCTCAGTTTTTTGCATTTTGTTTCAGGTATGTTTGTGTAAATAGTAAAGACAAATTTTTCAACTTCACATTGCTTAATTAAACATTTAAATTAATAAGACTTACTATCATCCATCTGAAGACTTGGAGGACAATAAAACTTTTTATGAGTAATTAAATTTGGTAATCCTCTGAAGAGACTCCGGCACAATTTACACTCAAAAATGGTGTCCACATCTCTTAACAAGATATGTTTAAGTTGTTTCGTTCCTGTAATAAAATAAATATTACACTTATGGAAGGCTTTCTGTTCATTTCTTAATTCACGCCATCCCATGAAAGTGGAAACATTTTAGACCATGAATAATTACAACAGCATTTTATCGTTTGGTAGTGCTACTTCATTTGTACTGGAAGTTTATGCTCCAACTTTCACTATGAACACAAGACTGGGATGAAAAAAACCCTCAAGGATTATACACATTACAGAGAAAGTACAATGGTTTACAATAAAAACTAACATCTAACATTAGGGAAGAGTTCTTACTACGGTATTTGGTTGTTGCAATACAATTGCCCAATAGGAAAGAATAAGCACCTAGAGCATTTAAAGAAGTCAGTAGTATTTTTTCTTTAGGGTTATCCTACAGTGCTATAAAAACAAGACACACACAGCTATTTCGTATAGAAATGGCACCTGGTAAGGCAAAAAACTAAAGGACTGAATAGACCAAAGAGAATAATTAACAGGTCAAGAAATGTTACTACACTTAGATATCTGACCCAAGTCCAAGATGATGACACTTAGACGAGATAGTATAGATAGGCATATTTTCAGCCTGAATGAAGGAAAACAGATACAATTTAAATCTGAAAGATCTCTATTAAAACATAGAGAGTATGATAAAATATGCCAGCTTTCCAGACTATTATGTATTGTATATAAAGATAGTTAGATCTAGCATTGTTGATGTATTCCAGCTCCTGCCATTTTTTTTTTTACTTTTAGTCCTTCATTTCTCATCTCATGAAAATTTCATCTCATGAAAATCTCATCTCATGAAAGGCCTAAAATTAGCAACATATTACTAAATGATGCTTACCCACTCCAAATTAGAAAAGGAGCACTAACTAACCAAATTCAGCTCTTTTACCTATCTTGATTTTTCTTAGAATTTAAATATTCAAAACTAATCAAACAAGGAAAAATATAATAAGCTGGACCATCAATAAACAATATCAAATACCTATGGAAAAGCAGCAGCAAGACGTTCTTCAAGCTGAACTACAAGATCAAGTGTTCCGTCATCTCATCACACTTCTGCAAAGAATTCCTTTCAAAGTTCAAACACACTGCAGAACTATTTTCTAAATTAAAATCTTTCAAATATTAAAAAATTCATAATAGGTAACAGTTCTTCAGTACAAATGGGCCTTACCAGAAAAACTTATTTCTTGGTGCAATAAAGCTTTCTAAATCTGAGTTTCAGCAAAGCAGTGTCTTCTTCAACAGTTCTTTAAAAATGGTATCCAAACTTGGTCATGTGAGGCTACCACAGTTTAGGGGCATACCCCTCCTATGCCTTCCCAAGCCATGTCCACTGCTCTTTCTTTGAGTGTTACTAACTTCACCCTCATTTGACCTGCGTTTTTACAAACAGACTACCAAACTAGATTTACTACTATATATACTACTACAGTTAGATATAGCAACAAATAAAAATGGTACAGAGTTTCCCCCAAAAGCAAGTTGTTTACTCTGATCTCACCAACATTTGAATTTCTGCATATAAAGAAAACCCAGCTGAACAAAACTGAAGATGCTCCATGTAGATAAAATTCCATGCTGTTCATGCATGCCCTGGCCACAAGCCTCATTCTCAAAAAAAAAAAAAATTCTCCATTACTACCCAGCCAAGGGACATACAGGTTCCTCATTCTCTCCTCTGTTATATTCAGTCCCTGTTCAGGACTGAAATGTTTTTTTTCCAATAAAAATTACTGGATTTAAGAATTACTGGATGAGATTAAAGGATTTATGACATATTGGAAACCATACTGTATGACATGGTAGTCATTCTGGCTTCAAATCATCCTTATGCATCTGTGAAACTTTTCACAGATGAGAATAAAAAAAATAACTGGTCCTTTTGAAATAAACTGCACACATTCAGAAACTTCTCAAAACAGCAAAAAAAATTTAACTTACTGAAGTCTTCTCTATTTTGTAGTTACATCTAATTGTATATTGTGATGGTAATGCAGGTGATATCTTGTCAAACTCTGTTAACATTTGTAAATGTTGATGCTAGAACAACATCAAAGTCACAATAAATTGGTAGAGAACACCAGTCATAAATATCTCTATCAGAAATTCCAAAATTTATGCCTTTTGCAAGCAGTTTCTTTTTTAGAAAAAAAAATCATATTCACTTTTTATTCTTAATGCTTTGCATGACAGAAGCTTTTGATAAAATTACTTAAACAGTTATATACAATACTCTGTCTTAAATTTCTGTTCCTTTACCACAAGAATCAAATACTCTCTTTCCATAATGAAATGTTGCTTGTTCAAAACGAGCCAGTAAAATCTTTTTCTAAGTCCTCTTGCCTTCTGTCCAACCTCGCTGATGCAGGTGACTGATGACATCAAAGTAAGCTACCAATTTAACACTTGCCAGTGAGGACGATCTGGAAGTAGCTCAGAACAAAGCACCTGCAACTAGTTTGTGCTATTACCAGTAGATAGTCCATTAATCTGCTTCAAGCAAAAAAGCCTGTCACGCATCTCTGAGGCCTCAAGCAAACAAAAAAAGGTTACTTATGAATAATCACACATCCTGTTTTAGTATTAAGTTGAAACACTAGTGGACAACTTAAATACTGTGCCCATTTACAAGACTCAGAGCAGACATGCATCTTATTGCACAGCAGCAGTGTTTTATACATGGCGCATTTCACATACTTACAAGATCAACGGGAAAAAAATTTAGAAATGCGTAGATAGTAGCACTAAAGACCAAGAGCTGTGAAAGTAAAATGTTTGGCTTGCCACATCAGAAGTGTAGAAACAGCCTGAAAACACTGAAGGTTTCTATCTTCCCTCGCATGCCTCCCCAAATGCTTAGCTATTCATTGCTATGTATTGCAACTCCCAAAATCATTCAAGGAATATCTTGATTTAAGCAATTTAAGATGGTCAAGATTAAGTTTTTTCTTCACCTCAGGAGTTTTATGATTAACTCACTGAGAACAGCAGCAGAAATGGCACAAAGCAGAACAACAAACTTAATTTTTATGGTTTTTGAAGGATAACTATACAGCAAGCTCTGTATCTTCATTACTTTCTATGATAACCCTTATTAAAAGGAATACCTAATTCCAAAAATCTACAAATATTTTGCAAATATGCATAAAGTCAGGTGCTGGTCATTTTAATACACTGAAGCATTACTCTTTTAAAAAGGTAATGGACTTCCCAAGGGTCAGGCATGGTTTCCTACCTGATCGAAAACACTCAATGATTTGCTGAATACCAGATTTTGATGTTTGCAGAGGCTGCTGCAATAACGGAGGATCACCAGGTTCCAAGAGACGCACTGAAATATATAAAAGGATAATAAGCCATTAGAAAACAGGTAATTTAGGCATCTTCCATACATACAGTAAACTAGCTAAAAAGAACAGCCAGGACTACAATAAAAGTAGCCTTACTCTAAACTTTTCACTTATATTGAATTTAAAAAAAGTCAACACTGAATTTCCCAGCTATGATACCTTCTGACAGTTTGCTGTCCTTTTGGTAACTTTTTTTGTCTGTATTCAAAGCTACATGTAAAAAACCATAGAAACATATAAATATATAAAACCAAATTAACTCGCTAGAAAGTCCATCAATTAAAGTAATTTCCCAGAACAATCTACTTGACTTCCATTGTTAAAACCAAATGACATGTACAAAAGAGCATTACCAAATACTGTATCACCAGCATTACCAAATACTTCAGAGCACACTACATGACTTCAATGTTGCCAGTACGCACCTAAACAATGAAGCCAAATTTAAAGTAGCAATGATCAGAAAAAAGGTACGAGCATAGCTACATAACACATACCAAAAAAACCTATCACAGTATTTTTAACCACAAAAGCTACATTCAATAAACACTTCAGGCTCAAATAAACTGCTGAGGGAATACTTTATTTCTGATGCTTCTTTCCATATCATATTTGTTGGAATGTTGGGGGACACAAGACTGATGATGGACTTTGGACCTGGCTAACATAAGAGATTTGATAACAGGATGCCTTGGCAAAAGCAAACGGAACTTTGAAAACTAGACCAAGATTGCAAGAAGATTAAATCAAACAGGCTTACAGGAAAAAGGAAACCCCACTAAACTCTGCAAGTAAGAGATGCTGTTATATGCATAAGTTTGTGTATGTGATTTTAACCTAATCATTGTCATACACATTAGTAGTCTCCCTGAAATAGTATATAAGCATTTGTATCCCCCAGTAAAACTGGATTCTGATCACCGAATCAGTCTTCCCTGTCTCTCTCCATCACCGACATACATTCTTTGCAAAAGCTATTGAAACTAAAACATATGTTAATCAGAATTTTTAGCAATTCCAATATGCAATATTTATTCACTTGAAAATTAATAGAACTCCATTGCTGTATATAGCTATGGCAATTAAGCTTTGCCCAGAGGGAACCCAAATTTACAGGAATACGAACACTTCCTGAAGCATGTGTTTGCAAAACCATTAGTTAGGTCTTATTTTATATTACTTATTGACTAAACAGCCAGCCTTGCACTTAATAAACTGGCTCCCACCTTAACCATTTGGTTTGATTTTAACCTCATTGTAAAGTTTTCATTTCTAAATGTAGCACTGAGATCTCTAATAAATTTACTTTTAATAAAGGCCACTTGAGGCATAGTATGAAACTATTTAGACATAATTAAGTGCAAAAAGACTAAACAAGTTTTGATAGGAATGTTGAGCTAAAAGGTTATAAATAAATTCTAACTGAAAAGAACATCAGAAAACAAAGCACTGTAAAAAAGGACAACAGAATGAACATTCCACCGAACTATCCTGGTCCCATAATATATTATTATAAATACAAACACATAACAACCATGACGAATTAGCAAATCAGTTGGGGATCTCTAACACAATGGCATATTGTATTCTACTACCCTAATCCCTATACTTCAAAACAAAACATTTTGGTTTGTATACAGCCTCTAATATGCATGTACAACACCAAGTGACAGCAACAGGCGTAACACAGGTGAAGCAGACCTAACACATCACTGTTAATTTCTCAGGCAAGAAAAATATTTTTGTGTTTTTAAAGTATTAGAACAACTCAAAACCATTTCATCACCAACACAAAGAAATGTTTCTACTAAGTGAACAATATCTACTCTCAAATTACATTTCACTGAATGAGCATAATCAAAGTCACAGTGCTCACATTTTCATCTGTTAATTCCCCAAACTGATGACTTTCTTCTCAAAACAGAAGTGAAAGCATACAAATAGCACCTTTCTTTCAAAAATGCAAGTGAAAGCATCCAAATAAACTCCACAACAAGGCAAAAAGAAACAAAATAGCCTTTAAAAATCCTAATTACAACAATAAGCAGATTAATTTCAAAAGCATCTAACAGGTTGGCTGAACCTTCAGAATATTCATTACAGTTTCCACTGACGGCATCTTTCATATCACTCAGACATGGAATGTCAAGAGTTGTTCCAGGTGGGATTTTTCTCCTCTGAGACTAAGAGTTTCAATTTCACCAGAGTTCAACAGAGAAGACAGAGTAAAAATATAAATAACAAATGTAAATGATTGCCAGAAACACCATTTTACAAAAAAAAAAAAAAAAAAAAAAACCCTGAGAACAGTGCACTTTTTGGAAACAAAATGATCAGTTGTTTTATACAAGCTTTTGCCTTCCTGTGCTCACTTCATAGAACACCAATGTGGTGGCCTGAGGATTATCCCACATGCAGGAACTAAAATATTCTCTTCCTGAAATGATTTTAAGGTGACAGTTTAAGGAGAGGAAAAAAAAAAAAACTACTTCCAAACAAAATTCAGAAACTTTTTATACTTAAAGCTGACACAAATGATATACATTTGCATCCTCACAACAGTTCCTGCAAGTTTTCAGTGAAGGAGACATGCAAACCAGCCAAGCACCACACACCACCATACCTGGTTCACAGCATCCATGGTGATGGTGGTCAGTCTGACAACACTTGTCCCTTAGAGGCATTTTCCGTGCGCACGACCTACTTTCCTTCTACATCCAGCAGCCCGTTTCTGCTAAAATAAGCAAATTAGCAGTCACCGCCGAAGCACAAGCGGCTCAGGAGCGCGCCAAGCCCGCACACCCGCTTCCTACGGCCGGGCAGGCCGGAGGCAGCGGCACCCCTGGCGCAGGAGAAAGTCCCATTGTTTCCGGCAGGTCTCACGACGCCCTCTGCAACGGCCGAGGCGAGCACGGCCCCGCTCCCG